AGGAAGGGGTGTAAATCTATTTACGTTTTGTTTAAGCTGCGGCAGTTGCGTGTACACTGTCGTGTAGGAAACTTCATTCAGTGCAAAGGGTATCAAGTTTGAAATTTTTAACCTTTTTTTCACGTTGCCGTTTTTATAGCCGTTTTTGAGTAAACTTTTCCATTCGCGTCGTAGCATAATATAAAAGTTTTGATTTTTCTCAACAGCTCAGCTTTGTTATACGCCGTACGCTTAGTGTGTCACATTAGTTATATGCAAATTAAAGGAGCTTTTCGTTGTATAGTGGTTTGCCTCCTGATGAGTTGATTTGGCCATCAGTTTACAATTTTTAAGCAGGAGTAAAGATTAAAAAAGTTTTGGGAAGGTTTATCCAATGAAATTTTTTTGAAAAAATAATTATTGGTTAAGATTCTGAGCGGGTAAAAGATACGAAGTTTAAGTGTTACAATAAACGGTAGATATCTACAGTGTTGAATCAGATCCATATTTTCGTCGCTATATTTTACTTCAGTGTTTTGCGATTGTTTAAGTGACAATTTCAATACCACCATGAGATCCGTTTTTAGCATTTGAAAACGTGGGATAATAAGTGTTTCTGCGGTACTACTGGCCAAATGGAGAAGCAGTTATACGAGAGCAGTAGATGTGCAAGATTTAAAAAAACTTATTAATAGTTGTTTCTATTACTTTCTATTGCATTGACCGGTTTTTTATAGATTTTGTGTAACATTTTTTTCTATTTTTACAGGGAGAAACGTCTATTTGTGTTACACATCGGTCGTGAATTTATTGCTTAACATTACTTTATTTATACTATTTGCTTAATTCCCTTTTTAGTAACGATATTTTTTAATTACTAGTTTATATTTAGCAAAAATGGTCAAAAAATTTTTTTATTGCCAATTGTGGATGCTGGCCATTTAATAAACTTACCGACATGTTTTCGGTACTATCAGCAAATTTATGTGTTCACTTTGCACGAGGTTTCGACATCTTGGTGAATTTTTGCTCTCTTCTTTCTTAGTCTGTTTTTAGTTTATTCGTAACTTCTAGTGCCGTACTACTAACACGAGATAATTGTTTCTTTTGGGCTTTAAATGGAGGGTGGGTACTTAATCCTTTATGGAAGTTATGAGATGACTTGAAGAACGAATTTTTTGTTGTTATTTTGTTTTTTATTGGGAGCCATAACTTATTTGACGGGCAGTATTAGCTGCAAGCTAATTGTACCTTAAATGTAAATTGAATTTTTGGTGGCTAACTGAGTTTGCCTGAATATTAATCTCAATGCCGTCCTGTATGCAGTGGGAAAAGTTCATGACTTTTGTGTTCAGCGTACTTTGTTGAAATGGAGTTTATTTAGCTTTCACTGCTTTTGCTGTTAGAAGTTTTCGTTCTTTAGTGATATCACTGCGCCTTCACGATTCCTTTTATGAGCAACTTGTAAAAGGAATTGAATATCACTATTTTTGGCGACGTTGTTTGCCACGTTGAGTGTTTCTCATGTTAACTGAAGAAAAAGTAATGAATTAATGAATGAAGCCAAGTTTTCTTTGGAGTTTTCAGGTAAAAGTAAGCGAGTGTTGTCAGGGGTAAATAAGGTTTTTTGCGAAAAATTGAAGATCAGTAGTCTGTCAAGTGAATTTGATTTCAAAACTAAATGTTCTTTCAGTCGACTGTTTTGAGCATCATTTTTTCTTTTTTTTCCCGGGGTAGCAAAGTCGTAGTCTTTTGATTTATAGTAGCGAATCGAAGTTTTTACAAAGTGTTACAGATTAGAACGACTTGTCTTTTGGATTAAAGCCTCATTTTTTCTAGGTCTCTGCAGTATCGTGTCGTGATATGCCGGATGTTTCCGATGAACTTTCAGATAAGGTAACCCATTTAATTTTATAGTTCAATCGCTGTGTGTTTCTTTTGGGAAAACAAGGTAAACTTTTCAGAGCTATGTTGTTTAGGACTTTATTTATCAATTATTGTAGCTACTGAACCGTACACTAGTCAAATGTTTAAAGGTTTCTAGCCGTACGTAATGGCAAATTTTTATTTCTGTCACTGGACTGTGCAGATATGGCTAGAATTTAAATTCAAAATTTCTTCCTTTGGAGCGAACATTGTAATCCCGGCTCTCCGTAAGAAGAGAGACTATTTCAGTTTGTAACATATAGATTGTTCATTTGCGCATTAGACTTTGATGCCTCTAAACTTTCTTCGCAATCAGTTATTCATAGTGAGTAGCTGCTGAATTATCGTATTTTCCTCAGCATAAACTCATTTGAGGGTTTCACTTCAAAAATCTAAGTCGCTGAAGGTGGAAAATTCGAAAAAAGCGTTCTCAACGTGGCCGTGTGCAAAATCCTCGTTGCCATTAAAGGAATTGTGAGAAATGCTGGAGTTAATTAATATCAGTTAGCAAAAGATAAAGAATCAAGAAGGGTTGGATGGATCATCCTTTTTAACTTCTTGAGTTGTATTAAGTCAGATGTCAGAAGAAGTGAAACTTTCAAATAATCTTAGGCTGCTAAAATGACGGTGTTTAGGAGGTCTTCATTTTAATAAAATGTGTTCAATAAATAGGAAATTGAGAGATTTAATGCTCTACTAGGCATTTTATACAAAAAAAAAAACAAGTATTTGGGTTGTTTTCATATTAATAACGGTTCCTCCTTAAGTATGAGTTTTAATTTTTAGTGTCTGAAAGATTGAACTGTTAGGACAGGCAGAAAGTTCAGGTGCTTGTGTACTTCCAGCCATTATTCTTGCAAGAAAGTTCTTGTATTCCTACCAGTTGAAAAATCTTTGCATTTCATTACAGAAACAATGTTTTTCAGTACACCATTTTGTTAGTCTCTTTCATGAAATGATGATCGGAGACTCATTTGTGTGAGACCTTGCTTATCTTGTAGATCTAAAGACTTAAGTATTAAAATGAAAATTATTTTTGTATCAAGAAACTTTTCCTTGGATAAAAGGGTTATTTAACAAATTATTCAAGCGAGCACTTCTGATCTGGTAATCTCTGAGCTTCATATAATTTTTTTGTTATTAGTCAAACGATTCACACTCTTTAAAAGATTAGAATATGCTAGTACCTGTTCACTGACATTTTTTACTTTCAGAGGTTGTATTATTTATGAGGTAACTGCTGTAGTGGCTTTAATTTTTTAGAGGCATTCATTCGAATTTCGTCTGTTTTTAAAAAGTTATTAGCATGTATTCTCACAGACGCCGTATTAATTCATGCCTATTAAATGAACTGAAAAACTTCAGCACGACTTATTTGTATCCGACGGAGACGGGTTATCAACAACGGAAATTGAAATAAGCGATGTGGCTAAAGAAGGAGAAAAGGCAGACGCTTCACAATTCGAACTTTTAAAAGTTTTAGGACAAGTAATTTCATTTTTTTTTCTAAAATTAGTTAACCTATAATCCACGCTAATATCTTTAATAAAATTCAATGGGAAGATCAAATTGTTATAAGCGACTTTATACATTCTTATTTTTGGTCTTAGGGTTCTTTCGGAAAAGTTTTTTTGGTTAAGAAAATAGAAGGAAGGGATATCGGTACCTTGTATGCAATGAAGGTTCTGAAGAAAGCTACTTTAAAAGGTATGAAATGGTTTTGAACTTAGTAGTGTCTCACCTGCCATCAGTATTTGTTTCGTTTATGGTAGGTAATTAGGGATTTGGAGAATTTTTGGTTAAGTGATTCTACGTAGGAAGTTATCCAAGAATTTTTATTATTTCTCAAAATTGAAAACTGATTGTATAGTGCGCGATCGTATCCGCACAAAAATGGAAAGAAATATTCTCGCTCAAATTCACCATCCTTTTATTGTTCGACTCCATTATGGTACGTTCTTTCTTTTTTCTTTTTTTGATGCGATATATTGAAGTCTTAGGAGGATAAATACTTTTGGCAACTTATTTCTCTTGAATTTATGATTTTCTTTCTTGTAGCTTTTCAAACAGAAGGAAAATTGTATTTAATCCTTGATTTCCTGCGAGGTGGCGACCTTTTTACTCGTCTTTCGAAAGAGGTCGGTGTTTCAATCAGCAATTTTTATACATTTAACGATTTAAAGTTATTTTTTTGAGAGGCGAATGCTATTCAAAATTACTAGTTATGTTTTCGCAGAAATTCATTTTCTTTGCCTGTTTTGAAACCACTGCTCTATTTCTCCACGGTTCATTCAGGTAATGTTCACTGAAGAAGACGTTAAATTTTATTTGGCAGAGTTGGCTCTTGCTTTAAATCATTTACATATGTTAGGAATTGTTTACAGAGACCTAAAACCGGAGAAGTAAGTTATTGGCAAAATAATCAATAATTTTTTGAATTTTTTCGCTCCATTTGGACTTTTTTTTTGTTGTAGCATTTTACTGGATGCAGATGGTCATATTAACCTGACTGATTTTGGGCTCTCAAAAGAGTCTATAGAGGGTGATGAGAAGACGTATAGCTTTTGTGGCACGGTCGAGTATATGGCTCCAGAAGTTGTAAATCGTAGGGGGCATTCTACCGCAGCAGATTGGTGGAGTCTTGGTATTCTTATGGTTAGTTTCTTCTCTAGCTTTCATAATACCTCATACTAATGGACTTTCTGCTGTTGATGTCTTCGTTGAAACCTGTTTTTATTTATCGCTCTTGTAATATATAGAAGGATAAAGTTTATTTGTAGTATGAAATGCTTACTGGAAACCTACCATTCCATGGACAGAACCGTAGGGAAACGATGGAAATGATATTAAAGTATTTTTTTATTGCGTTATTTGTGCACTGGTCATGAGAAATTAATATTTTCTTTTGGTTTTAGGTCAAAATTATCTATGCCCTCGTTTTTATCACCTCAAGCCCAAAGTTTACTTCGTGCGCTGTTTAAACGGATTCCTTCACATCGTCTCGGATATGGACCAAATGGGATGGCGCAAATTAAAGCCCATCCATTTTTTGCATCTGTCGATTGGGATAAATTGCTGGCTCGTGAAATAGAGCCTCCATTTAGACCGACACTGACGGCAGCGGACGAGACACATTATTTTGATCCAGAGTTTACTAAAGAGACACCCAGAGGTATAAGAGATATCATCATAACTTTAAAGATTTTTTATGGTTAACCCATTTTTTACAGATGGAAATATTTATTTTTTAGATTCCCCTGCGGTTCCGCCTTCTGCAACCGCCCATGAACTTTTTCGTGGGTTTAGCTTTGTAGCACCATCAGTATTGGAGGAAAGTCGTGATAAGCACCGGCTTTTTGTTAGTAACCGTGTTCCACTTCCAGAATATCGTGTTAAGATTCAGGACGAGTACATATTTGAGGAGGTTTGTGTATTGTTATGTCACACTGCACTCTATTCTGATTCAGAGAAGATTTTTATTCTGATTTTGTTGTGTTAACAGTTATGCGATAATTCCCATTTGTAGGAATTGGGGATGGGTGCTTACTCTGTTTGCAAAAGGTGTGTACACAAAACTACTCGCGCTGAATATGCTGTGAAGGTAGGTGGTGTGCAGTTAATAGGTTTTTTCATGCGTAGCCCTTTTGTCTTCTAATTTTAGATAGTCGGAAAAATCAAGCGGTTTTATTGTGATGAAGTAGATATTTTACGCCGGTACTCTCATCATCCTAACATTGTCAAATTATATGAAGTTTATGAAGACGAAAGTAGCGTGTATCTCGTTGAAGAGTTGTGTAAAGGTGGTGAGCTCTTGCACAGCATTATTGCTCAAAAACACTTTTCGGAGAGAGAAGCTGCAGCTGTGCTTATGAAGTTGGCAAATGCTGTTAGTTACCTTCATGGAAATCAGGTAATCTGAATCATTAAATCTTGTTGCTTTATTTTATTAATTTCACTGTTTTATAGGAGTCATTTGCAGGTTGTCCATCGTGATTTAAAACCATCGAACGTTATGTATGCCACTACACGTGCAGATATCGATTCGATCCGGATCATTGATTTTGGCTTTGCAAAGCAACTTCGTGCTGGGAATGGTTTACTAATGACGCCCTGCTATACTGCCCAGTTTGCTGCTCCAGAAGTCTTGAAAAAACAAGGATATGATATGAGTTGCGATGTTTGGTCTCTTGGAGTCCTGCTGTACACCATGTTGTGCGGGTAGGTAGTTATTTTAAAAAGGGATTTTCAAAACAGCCTGCTTGTTTTCCAGTTCTAAAAGTCCCCTCCTCCGCCTGTAGTGATAAGCTGTTGCATACGAAATTTCTGAAGCTAGTGTTTAAGTCTAAATTATCACATCTTAACTCATAATTAGTGCTACCAGTCGAAGTGTGCAACACTCGAGCCTAAAAATTTTGTTGTTGAGAGACAAAGCAACAAAAACATTCTTTTTAAAGACCAGAACATTCTTTTGTTGGATACATAACTCCATGATTTGTTTATGTTGGTTTTATTGACACTCTCGGGTTTTTCTTTTTTTTTTT